TCCTACCAGCTGAAAATATTAGGTGTGTCCCGCGCGCTCATATGACCTATGCAGTTGCGAGCGCCGTAAAACACTTTACAAAAAAACAAAAAAACAAACAAACAACATATATCGTCCTTATCTCTCCTCTTTCTCTTTTGTGTTTGTCACTATCTTGTAACACCCCTAATCTGCGGCACTTATATGAGGTAATTGTGTTGAAAGTGCCGTAAAACTCTTACTAAAACTAAACACTCTTTGTATTTGTTCTTGCAGCAGCTTTACTACTTTGCTCTTATACTTGATTAAATTTGAGTGAGCGGGTGGGTGGAGGGCGCCACTGGCAGGTCCTACTTCTTTACTTTTTTTCCCTCTGTTGTTTCTGTCTATCTGTCTGTCTGTCTGTCTGTCTGTCTGTCTGTCTTGCTTTTTCCTCAACACTAAACAACCATCATTGTGTCGTAGATTTGCTTCTCTTTACCCAAACAAACAAACAAATAAATCTACCCCCCGGGGAAGTGCTACTGACTGAAGTGTCTTGAGGCCATACCCAAAGGGGGGACATTAACATGTTCTTATGCTCAGTAGAATTGTAAATGGGCTTATTCATCTATGTCAGGCTCATAACTGTGCCTGAACTGCAACAGGGAACTGCTTCTTTTTCTTTCCTAATCCTTACTATCGTCATATTCCTCTACTTATTTTGTATGTCGTTCACACTCTTGTGACCCGCTATTTCCGGGGTGCCTTGACAGTCAAAGCAGACTTTGTGCTGTTGGAGCTAGAGTGGTGAGCAGAGTAAGCCTGATTCACTGTAACGACTTCTCTGTTGACATCCACCCATTGGCGCTTATATGACCTAATGCAATTGTTAGCACCGTAAAAACTCTACCCCAAAAAAAATATTTAAAAAATAAATAAATCTGAGTGAGTTTTTAATCCGTGCTACCTCCTGTCCTGCCCAGGCCCCAGTGACCATCACTGACCAGACGCCCATGGAGACGGTGGTGGAGATGTTCCGTAAGCTGGGCCTTCGGCAGACGCTGGTCACTCACAACGGGTCAGTTCTTTGTTTTACGCCGCTGCCCACTCTTTGTTTTTTGTTGTTTTTTGTTGTTGTGGCAGACTGCAACTGTTTTGTTTTGTTCCGTGGTGGGACTTTTTGTTTTGTAGTGGATCCCTGCAGACTCTTCGAAGTGCTGTGGCAATCTCTTTGTTTCGTTTTGTGCCGTGCTTGGCAGGCTTGTACTGTTGCAGATTCTTTGTTTCGTTTTTTACTGTGGAAGACTTCTGGTTTTTGTTTTGTACTATGGCGAACTTTTTGTTTTGTTTTGTACTGTGGCAGACTCTTTGTTGTGTTTCGTATCCTACAGACTCTTTGGGGTTTTTTTGTATCCTGACAGACTCTTTGTTAAATTGTGGATCCCTGCAGACTTTTTGAAATATATATATTTAATATATGTATGTTAAGATACGATGGAATCAGGAGTTCGTCAATTTTTGGTCATATAGAATTATTAATATTGTCTGAAAGCTTGTTCATTTTTCTTGCATTTGGCGAAAAAATACCCACAAATCTTGGATAGAAGTCAAGGTATCTGCGATTGAAGGAGGGGCGGGGGGGGGGGGGGGGTCGCCTGGTGTAAGAGGCAAAATTAGAGAGAAAATGGCTGCCGAAGTTTGGTGACTTCCAGAGGTTGAGTGTCCTTGGAAACTTGAAATTACATTTTTTTTGTGTCTTTAATCAACATTTTTCAGTAAAACCCAGATAGAAATGTTTTTTTTTTTAAATAGACCTTAAAGGTGTTTTCTCTCTTATTAGTGCTGTTTATCATATTAATAAAATCTATGTTAATTTCATCTGTATTACCACTTTCTCTACAACTACTACCAGTACTGTTATTGTCATTATGTTTATTTTTTCATTTAATTTCTGCTTTATTGTTTTTTTCTATGATATTATTTTTTTATTATTATTTTCTCTGTTATTTTGCTTTTCTATCATTGTTATTATTATTACTATTTGGATTGTTATTATTATCATTATTATTATTACATTTATTATTATTTTCTCCTTTATCGTTATTGATATCAATATTATGATTTTCTCTATCACTTTTATTATCTATGTTATTATTTTCTCTATTATTACTGTTATTGTAGTTATTGTTATCTACATTATTTTCTTTATTATTATTGCTATTATTATGATCTTTTTTTTTCTGTATTATTATTATTATTATTATTATTTTCTGTATTATTATGTTGTATATTTACGATGGTGCTGTACCTCCCACAGACGTCTGCTGGGCATCATCACCAAAAAGGACGTGCTCCGCCACATCGCACAGCTCCAGAACCAGGACCCAGAGTCCATCTTGTTCAACTAGCGTGCCAGACGAGAAACACGTCCCTTTTTCCAGGACAAGACACGCCCCCTTTCTTTCCAGGACGAGACACGCCCCCTTTTCCAAAGGAGAGATTGATGAGAATACCCAGTGGGGACTGCTCTTATATAGCCTATATTGCGAGAGCCGTCGGATTCACTTGATCTTTGACACTATATTATTATTAATATTATTATTGCTGTTACTATTATTATCCTTTGACG